GTCCTGTTTTAGCCAAACCAGGACACCTCCATACTGCTTACAGATGTTCCTGAGCTGATGCAAGTGCCTAAACACAGTTCTCGAGAGCCATTTTACCCAGGTCGCCTGAGCCCCCGGCACCAGCCAGGGCAGTGATTTTTGTCCTGTGGATACAGGTGCTGAGCAGTGATGCAGGGACAGCCGTGCTGATGCACAACCGCTCAGGGAGGGCTTTCACCCATCTGGGTCTTGGGTTGTGCTTCAAAGTGGTGTGCAGGCAGAATTAGTGGATGGGAAGACTGTTACACTCAGTGTGTGCCAGTGCTAAGCTATCCTTGCAAATGCACATTCCTTAAAGTGCTCCTATAAAGATGATGGTTTGAGCATTTATGCTGCATGTATTTGTTTACATATATGTTTACCTTTGTGAAAGAATGTAAATAGAAATATCTTAAGTCACTCTTCAGGGTCTGACACATTTACAGTCTTTATCGGTTACTGATGACACTATTGAAACACTCCTGCACAGACAGAGGAGTGACTTAACACGGTACGGCTGGAACAGATACCTGCAGCTATAGCATCATTTCTGCACAGTGTATGGCCAGAGTTCAGGATCTTGTTCCTGGCTAGGGTGGATACGGCAGTATGTGGTGCTGGAACTGTACTGCTTTTGTGTTCAGAGGGGTTCCCTGTGGGGTTTTCAGACTGATTGCCGTGGAAGCCCAAACACATTTTTCTAGGACTTATGATTCCCAAATTGTTTCAAATTCCTCCTGTGCTTGACCCTCTTTTCTCTCTTAGGGTATATATGTGCTAACTGTGAATACTGGTTTTGTTTTGTTTTGTTTTGTTTTATTCCTTCAGGGAGCCTTTAGAAGCATATATCTATTTTGGCCCTGTGTATTACCAGAAACTAAAGCACATGGTGTTGGATAAAATGCATGCAAGAGCTCGAGGACCCAGAGCAGTGCTCACCAGGTACTGTTACAGACTAAGCACAAAATTCTTGTCTACATTCAGAGGTGTGCCCAGCTGACTGACGGATATAAAACAAAGTTTCTTTACCTTTTGATACTTGACACAACATGCTATTACCTGTTAATACACTGTTACAGACTAAAAGCTCTCAGAGTAGGCTGTGGCAAGAGGTTGTTCTGAATGTCCAGGTGTGCTCTATGTGGTCCAAAACTGAGTTTGCTTCTCAGACTTGTTAGCAGATGGTAGAAATACCATCTGCTGATTTCAGAGTGCACATTGTGGCCTTTTCTGTCAGATTGCTCATATGATAGGTATTTTAGGAGGATTTTTTTTTTACTTTTATCATTTGTACTTTTAAAAAAATGGGGTGTGAGTAGAAGGAAGAAATTCCTTTTAATATTTCAGCATCCTTTGGTTTGGTTAATATTGATGCGGCCCATGTCTTCATCTATCAAGGCAAAGCAAATGCATTGGCCTGGTGTAGTGCGAACAAGCATTAGAATAACGTGCATCCGTGGTATACTGCACTTTGCCTTGCACACTCTTCCATTCAACTCTAAAACTGAATTTAGGGTTGTATGCACTGTTCCACAGTTATCATTCAATACCATGCAGGAGAATAGCACTTTCACAATAAGAAATAGCAAAAGTTACAGAGATGCCAACAGTAAATCTCCATTTTTATTTGCCCAGTTAAAGATACGTCCTCAGTTCCCTTGGAGCCATGATTGTTGCACTAAGCCTGAACTTGATTTTCTCTCCAGCAAAAGGTTGATTACCATGTTGATGTCTTCTGGTATCAAATTTTGAAGTCAAGCAGATGTACTCTGAGTAATAGGTAATATAAGCCCCTGGAGGTGGGCTTATATTATCTGGACCTTTGGGGAATTTGAAGCATCCTGCTTTCACTGATGTTACTTACCTTTTCTCCTTAAAGCCAAGCTATATGGCTGCTTCCACGCATGTTCTAAATTGCTCATATTCCTGGCTCACAAGAAGCAGTTTAGTGGCACAGGCTTTGCTTTAAGGAGGCTTCTAGTGGGTCTTTTAGTTCACCTGTCTCCATCACAGTAGGATTATTTGCTAAATCTTGCCAGAAAGTTAATTGCCAGGTAGTCTTGAATATTCTAGCAAAGATTATTCCTAATGTCCTTTGCCAGTCTTTCTGGACTATCATGTACGCCATTTATACCTCACCTGCTGCATGGTGGTACTCTTCTTTTTGACCAGTCCCTTTGGTACTGTTTTTGAGATGTAAGCACAAAGTCATGTCTATCCTGCTCTTACTCTTCCTTCTAACTAGCATGATTCATATTCTTTAATTCTTAATTAATTTTTATGCCTCTTATCATGTGCTGATCCATTTCTCTTGCCTGGTCTGACTGCACAACAGGTTAGCAAGTCTGTCCTCTTAATAGGTGCAGCTTCTACCTGTTGATGTGCTATTAGAGAGTGCAGGAGCAGGTCTCTGCTATACCTGATACAGAAGTATCTTTCCCTGTTGCTTTTCATTGCATATTTCTATGCCTTTTGGCTTTCCAACCTCATGCTGTCTCTCGGACAAACTGAAGTTGTCTCTCACTTTCCGTGGAAGTAAATACCAGTAGTTGAACTGGGAGAGAAATCATGAAATTTTTTTTTTAATTCTTGGCTGAACTTTTCCACCAACCACATTAAGAAGAGCAAGTGTAGCACAACTGTTATTTCCTACCACAGGTGCTTGCCTATATGAAGATTAGTAATATTCCCAAATAACGGGCTGTCTGCCCCATTTTCTGTTCTTTAATGTATTAGTCATGGTGCTTCACGTGAAAATGAAAATTCACTGTCTTAGCTAACGGTGCACACAGTTGGTTTACTAGAACTCCTAGCTTACCTAAATCCCTTGATCTGCTTCTGTATTGTCTCCCCACCTTCTCAGCTGTTTAGAGATACTGAATTTAAATGAAACCTAAATCCCAAGTGAAGGTAATGTTTACATGCAAAGATGAAGGTGGTGTGATTTCCCCTACCCCTTACTTTCTTTGAATTCCTTGTTCCAGTCAGTAGCATCATACTATGTAGCTAGGTCTCTTTATTTGACTTTCAGGAAAGCTAGTAGGTGTTCAGTCTATGCTGCCTCTTGACTAGTCTTTTAGGAATTTTCTTTTTTCTCCTCAACTAATTAAACTTTTGTTATTGCCATCGCCTCTGCTGAGAGAGTCTGCATTGCCAGCTTTCATACTCACTATTGTTTTATCATCCATTGCACTTCCTGGAGAGTAGATTGCCTCTAACATTGTTTTTTGCTTTTAAAAGTAATCCTGTAACAGCTTCCATTTGGCTGTCATTATCTTGAAATGCATTTTATTATATATCAAATGGTACCTTAACTGACAGAGCACAGCTATATTTCCATCTGGAATAAGGCAGAAGACTTGAGTTTCTTGAACGTCACTGATTCTAGATATTGTTCTGATTAAAACAAGACTTTGTAAAATTGCAAAGCAACACTCTTTGTCAACACAGTCAAAAACCACCAGGATGTTGCCCTCTGAATTGGTATTTGTTAAATGAAATGCAATACTTAATTTATTTTGCTGTGAGTAGTTGACAATTAATTTAAAACATAGTTCTATATATGGTGTTGCCTAGATACCACGTCCTGCTAAATCTTTCTAATAGATAAACTGCTTTTAGTCTTCCTTACAAGAGATCAATATGAGCTTTCTGCATGCATAGTTGTTTTGATGGACATTGTCAGAGCTGCCACCTGCATGTCTTTTGAACTTATCAGATATGCCAGTTGCTATTATACTGCAGAGGAGTAATGTGATGACACTGGTTAGGGCTCTCTGGGGCTGTGTGAGCATGGTACGCCCTCCTTCTTCAGACAGTGTTTTTCTGGGTAATACTTCACTTCTTGAAGATCAGTATTTCAGCCAACAACTCCATTTTGAGTTAACCACTGATTTTCCGTAGCAGGCACAAGGGAGATCTGCTGAGACCTACAAGGCCTGCTCTTATTCATGGGGGTAAACTTATTTCCCCCCACTGGCCAATGAAACAAGGAACAGGGCCATAAAGCTGAACCCACTGTTCTTCCAGAAAATGCAGAATTAGTGCCAATAAATTCTTAATGTGCTTAAAACCACTAAAGTTAATTGTTTTATGCTTTTTTCTAAAGGCAGCAGTTAAATAGTATGAAGACCACTTGGCCTTATTTTTTTATTTAAAGAATCACTGCATTTTATTTAGCACTTAAGAATTTTAAGAACTTAGTTTTTTTTAAAATATAAAAAAGATCGCTTTTTAATGATATTCCCAATCTTATTTTCAAGAGTCTGCTTTGGTTTTGGAATGTTATATTTACAATAAAGAATGGAAGTAGTTGCCCAGGGCAACAGCTGCAGCGTACATGTGTATGCGGGAAAGAGGAAGCACAAATGCTTTATAAATACTGTTTTAACATTTTAAACAACCTTTGGGGTGAGGAATTTTCAAACTCATATGAGCCAGAAAAAAAAAATCTGATAGATGTAGGGAGCATAAGGTAGACTCTTTTCAAAGGCCCAATCTCAATATTGACATTTTTGGTACTATGTTTTATGGAGGCAGGATTTTGTTTGTTTTGTTTTTCTAATGAGGTCATTTTGACAGTGGGAGTGAAACACTTAAGAGCTTAAGACTCAAATCGTGGGTTTTTTGTTTTGGGGGGCTTTTTGTGTTTTGTTTTTTTTTTTTTAATGGGATTTTAGCTGCCTTAGAAATCTTCATCCTGTATCTGTTGGAAGACCCATGGCATATCAACTCTTAAAGGGCTGGAGTTGAGACTCCATCATTTTTTAAGAGGTTTTATCCTCCCTTGATTGGATTGAGACTTTATTTGGGCTCACATTTATAAAGCTATTTTTCATTTTATTCTGTGGAACAGCGCCTGTGCATTAACTAGTAGTATAGAAGTCAGTTGGTAAAAGGAACTTGGGCACTTGTAGCACCGCAGCAAATACCTGTATCTTTGGAGGCCCCAGCTGCTTTTAAAATCTGCCTCTTGGGACTTCAGAAGAGAAAGTGCATTCAGCACAGGGTTAGTCCTTTAAAACAGCATCTGAACAGTGATGGTGCCATCATCTGGGGAGGGGGCCCTGGGGAGTTTAATCGGGATGTAAACAACTTCTATCCATTCTCCCAACAGTGGGAAAAATAGAAGGTTATATGAATGAAAAGGTCAATTTGAATTACAAGCAGATTAGTTTAAGCTTCCAGTATGGTTGGAGTAGGGGAAAGTACTTCCCCCTAAGAACAAATACAACTTGCATCTTTAAAAGATATTTTGGTCTGGTAATTAGGTATGTTTTTTTACACTTGTTACAAAAGATTATTAGATGTTGAAGTCTTTTATAAATCCTTTTCTCTGAGTTGCAGTAAGTTGGCAAAAACTTATTTTTAATATATTTAGTATGCTTAACAAATTCAGTTGTTTGAAATAATATAAACAAAATATACTCCAAAAGTTATGGGTCAGATCTGTCATTGGATATTCTAGGTGGATTACACTGCAGGTGATCAGAAATGGCACATAAACATGGGGTTTCACTGAGCAGTGAAGCCTCTTACGATTGCCAATAACATTTTTGTAATTCCTTGTCTTTGCTGTCATGTTTCAGGGAATATACTAAGATGGAAATAATTCATAAAATGCATGCAGTATGTTAGTGCTTCAGGAATTTAAGATTGGTTTTGCTTCATAGTTCATTCTAATATTTGCAACCCAAGTACTACAGCATTGTGCTAGCACATGAGAGTAGAACTGATATTGTATGAAATTGCAGTATGACAAACAAGATGTTAAAAGCTTTGACTGTGTCCAACAAAAAAAAAAATGGCTTAAACAGTCATAAATGTTAAATAATGTATTGTACCTTGCCTTTTTCCCTCAAAATCTTTAGTGTTTACTTACATTGCTTTGTTAAAACTTTCCTCTAGCACCATGAGGACAGGAAGTCTTTCCAGACAAAAAATGAGAGTTTAATTTGTGTTGAGGAACAAGAAAACCAGGAGCCTATAGAATATGAAAATTAGCCTATTAACTGTCAGACATGGAAAAAAAATAAACTAGATAAATGTTACTTTAAAAAAAAAAAAGTAGGATTTCAATAATGAGTTAATAATGTGCATACTACTTGTTTGCTGCTTTGTTTTGGTATTCTCTCCAAGATCAAAATAGTTTTATTTTAAGAATTTAATCTTAGCTGTAGTTCAGCTGAGACATTAGCTTGATGATTCATTCATTAGCTGCTGAACATTGTTTCATTTAGTTAGCTACAAACTATAATTAATGTCTCATCAGAAAAAGAGTACCAAAGCTGTGTCCAGATTGTCTTGGATACTGTTCGGTCTCTTTTTGTTTTCACTTACTCAGCTTCATTCTCTAAGGTAAAGAGTTGTGGCCTGATGCTTAGTTGCCACTCAGAACTACATCATATTGCTAGTGGAGGAGAAAAGATTAATTGCTTCAACTTGAATAACACATTTGCGAGATGAGCAACTCTGGTTTGTAGAATGCTGTTGTCCATTGTTTCTACAGTTTGAAGACAGGCATTCCTAGAGTTGTAGAATGTATGTTCTGGAATACTTACTACTTTTTTTCTAATATTTATTTCAAAGGCAACCCACTGAAGGTCGATCCCGTGATGGTGGTTTACGTCTTGGAGAGATGGAACGGGATTGTTTGATAGGTTATGGAGCCAGCATGCTTTTATTGGAGAGACTGATGATTTCAAGTGATGCCTTTGAAGTGGATGTTTGTGGACAGTGTGGCTTGCTGGGGTACTCTGGCTGGTAAGTTGTGTATCTGTAATGCTTTTTGTAAATCATGGTGTCCCCTCCTCACTTTGTGCATCTGACATCTTTCGTATTTTCAGAAAATGCCTTGAAGTCAGGTGCATAAAGCAAAGTGGTACGGAGTAAGCATGCTTCTATGTAATAGAACCTTGCCCTTGGTTATAGTGCTTCTCAGTTTTACGGTGCTCACAGACACCGATTAACAGTCCCATGCACCTTAATCAAAACCAGTGTCAATGTTCAAAACTGGTATTTGGAAAATTGGTGACAGGGGATGGTTCTTTGTTATGGTCTGATTGAAATTAGGACTAGAATGTGTAGTCAATGGGCCAAGGGCCTCTCCTGTTCTGGGAGCACAGATATTGTCTTCCACAGCCAGCTGTGCTTGTGGGAAGGGTTACCTTCATTCTGTCTGCTGCCTGCCTTCCCACCCTTGCAGGGGATTAGCAAATGCCCAATCCTGTATATCTGGTTTTTGAAAAGGGGAAAATAACTGTGTCAATGTACTTGACTTCTGACATCAGAAATGAGATTACTAGCTAGGCAAGTCACAGATCTTCCTGGTACGATCACCTGTTGAACCTCACAAGGCTCAAGAGAGGGAACAGAAGAAAGGAAGAAGAAAGCAACATCTCCTGCTTTCTTGGTCTCTAGCTGTGGAGTTCATAATCACATGCATACCGCTTGCTTTGACTGTGCCCCTCCCAAATGCCTTTTGCCTTGCAGTGTTGTAGAACAAGGAACTCCTCTTCGAAGCATCAGACAAATGCACCAATCCCACTATGGGCTTTGTTCTAACCATCTTTTCACTACAGTAATTTTGAGATGCTAGATTTAAAGTTGCCCTGTAGCATACTGGAAATACACCACTACTATTAGAAGATGAGGAAACTTCTTTTTATGTTCTTTAGAGGTGAGGGAAATGTTTTGCTTTAGCTTGGTTTTGTTTTAGCCAGGCAGAAAAACGGACTTGTGAGACAAATAGGAATTTATGAAAATCAACATTATTGCAAGATTTGTGAAAACAGGTGACCTGGAATCCCATGGCGAAGGGAGGAAAAAATAAACCGTGAGAGTTCAAGTTACAAGTTACTCTAAGATTTATGTCAGGGGAAGATGGGGAGTTGGAAGGAGGGGGGAGAAAGATTCATTTCTAAATACCTCAAAAGAACATTTTGGAAACTTGCCGCATCTCGGATATCAATATCATTCTATTGGGAAAGGCAGAAAATTGGACTTTATTCACTTCAATGCTTCAAGAATGATTTTCCCGTGATTTAATGAAGTAAGAAAGTAAGGTGTGTTCTCAGTTTGTAGATGTGTAAAAGTGACAGCTACCATTTCTGCCCTTGGTCAGACCGTTCTGAAGCGTGTGGCTTCTGGCCAGAAACAAAGCACCACGTTTGTCTGCTAACAGCGGCAGCAGTTCTGCTCCTTGTGGAGCAGAAGTTCAGAGAGAGGTAGGTAAACACATATGAAATCCAGAGGAGAGACAAGGCCTCCTCTGTGCATCCTATTGTGGTTGGTGATTTTTAATTGGACATTGTCCTCCTGACTTTTGTCCGGCAAGTATTTTTGAGAGTCCTGTTTTTCTTGAGTGCGTGTACACTGTATGTAACAAGTGAGGCCTTTTTCTGACCCAGATCTCTTAAAACTACTGCAATGCAAGTAACAGTTGAAGGTAGTTGTCTGGAAGGAAAGGCATGCCAGAGGTCAACCAACCAACTGCTTCTAACTGGGTAAAGCACTGCCTTAAACTCACATGCAGATGTAACTCCATTATTATTTTATTTTATAAGACTTTCGCTTTCAAAGCAGACCTTGAAGATTTTCAGAGACCACAGGAGGTGAGGACACCTTGAAGAAAATTAGGAATTTGAACTTTAGAAATAGCATTACATTTTATTTTATGGTGTTGTTAATATATTTCATATTTTCAGGTTTGTAACAAAGTTCAGTAACTCTTTTTAAATAACTGTGAAAGAAACTACTATCTCAGACAGAGCCAGACATTCTTGCAATCTGCTTCTCTGACAAGCTGTCTGATGTGTGAGTAATCAATAAGAGGTAGTTTCTGCTAAATGATACGCTGTGTCTACCAGTAGCAGAAGCAAGTGGCCCTATAATGAGCATCACAGTAGAGACCGAGTCATTAAGAGAAACTTCCAAACAGGCCTTTTCAGTAATTCTGGCATTAATAAGACATTGTGGCAAGAAACCTTTTAGAAACATATTGTTTGGTGGCTAGCATTAAGGGCACTTGTCTTAAGGAAGATGAGCTCTTCCTCCCAGACAAGGACTAGCCACTGGGTATTGTTTTTCTGCCAAAGGCTAACAGCAGATCAGTGTTGGGACCGGAACTGGTACTTTTGCAGGGGACAGGGACTGTTATGGCAGTGACAGAATTTGTCCCCGTAAAAAATACAATAGACACTTTCTGTGATGCGCCAGTTTCATGCAAATTTTCCGACTTTGCTGTTGTACAGGTGCTCAGAGGCAGAACTGCACTGAATGCAATGTGCAGAATTTGGCCCTTTTTTGATTATGAGAAGTTATTCTGATCCCTAGAGTTTGAGCATTTTAAAATATACATGAAGAAAAATTTTGTTTCTGGTCCAGATTCAGCCTTGGCACAGTTGCTTTTGCCTGGCCAGTTTAGCATCAATTCTAGTACCAAATGGTCACAGAATCACAGAATCAATTCGGTTGGAAGAGACCTCTGGGATCGTCGAGTCCAACCTTTGCCCTAATACCACCATGTGTGATCTCTGTTTGACAAAGCTTTGTGCTTACTTCACCTTAACCTTTCTGGATGATACCCATGCAGGTACAAAGCAGGCCCAGAATGCCATAGCTTTGAACCTGAGTGTAGTGAGTAGTCTCTGCTTCTCAGTCCCTAGTAGCTGTAATCAGATACCAGACATCTGCTCAGAGCAGAAAAGTTGTGCCTCATCAGGCTTCCACGGTGTGCAAGGGTTCTTCTGTTGAGAGCGATCGCTTGCTGTGTTATCATTGGAAAATGGCTTCTGTTTAGGTCACTTCCTCCCACCATAAAAATGGACCTATCCTTATAAATATGGACTAGGGAAGTAGTTATAAACTTGCAGCTGATGTCTATTCTGTTTTAAAGGCACTCTAGCTGTAACATTTCCTCTATGGAACAGTGTCTACAGGAGAAGCCTGTTCCAGGGAAACATCTAGTTCAGCCTATTACGTTCTTATGGCCTATAGTCAGATTTAGACAAAGGCAAATCAATTACTGGCAATGAGTGAAGTTTCATTCCTCATCATGAACTGCGGAAATATAATTAAGGCTTCTGTACCATTGGTTGAAAGCTTCCTTGGTTTTAAATAAAAAAAAAATAAATACCCCAAGTATGGAGCATGTGGAGGTCAAGGCAACTACAGTTTTCTTGGAAAACAACCAGCTCTTTGACATGCTTTTTAAGTATGTCTGTAAAACAGAAGTAGCAGAGTCTGAAAAAGTAAGTGGACAACTGATGCCAGCTCTCATAACCAAGAACCTTATTAACACTGACCAACTTTATTGGACCTGTCCCCATTGACTTCCATGTGTCAAGTTCACTGGTAACAGAAAGAAGTGACTAAGCATTGGCTTTATTGTAGATGTTGACTCTCAGCCTCATTCTGTACCACAGAAGCATGTAGGAATTTTGTTAATTCTTCCTTAACTGGATCCTCAGACTGTTACCACTTTATGCTAGAAGTATAAATTTGAAACACAGATGCAAAAAAAGAGCTTTGTTAGACCATTAGGAAGTGCTGAGTCACTCTGTATTCCCAAAGGCCTGGCTTTCTCAACTCTCCAAAACCAGAAGATGGAACATGCAGGAAAATGAGGAAATAGGGAGGTTAGAAATGGGTATTTATAAGAAAGATTTTAAATTTCCTTTGTGTGTACACAGAGTATGAAATTAAATAATTTAAACAGTTGCTACCACCACTGAATTTGAGTCCTGATACTGAAAAGATGGCTGAGTGTCCAGCCTGTATATTCTTTATATGGTCAAGGTTATATGACAAAAAATGCCTTTTCCCCAGACTTTTAAGATCACCATTGGAGTAAAGACTGCAAAGAATACGTGTTAAAGCAGTTTTACTGGTTTCCCGTCCTGACTAAAGCTTTGACTATTCACAGAGAGATGTACGACAAGAGATGCCTCTTTTCTGGAATATGAACTGATTTGAGATATTAGAGGGTGAAATTGCTTATAAGGAAAAACCTAAGTGTGAACCTTCTTTCTTCCTGCCTCTTTTTTTTGTGACATATATATAAGACAGAAACTGGACCGTTAACCATGTTTTCAGAAATACTTAGCTTTTTCCACCTCTCTTCTCTCATGACGCAATGCTGAATTTGTGTTGGCAGTTGAGTGGTGAAGTAGTAGAAGTCAATCCTGTCAGCTACTGAGCATTGTGATCCTCCTCCAGAAAAGTGCAGGTTTAACATTAAGCTCCTATTGACTTCAGTCAGATTATTTAAGGGCTTAAAGTTATGACTGACTTAAGCACTAAAATGTATCTCTAGCACTTTCTAGGACTGAGCCCAGTGTTTAAATGCAGGTGGACAAAGAAACCACTGGATAGTGGCAACTGTTTTGGGTTTGTTTTTTTCTGCAGAACTTCATTTATGCACCAACTCTGACTTTCTTTTTGTTTGTTTCCATAGGTGCCACTACTGCAAATCATCATGTCATGTGTCTTCTCTGCGCATACCTTATGCCTGTAAACTCTTATTCCAAGAACTGCAGTCAATGAACATCATACCTAGGCTAAAACTAGCGAAGTACAATGAATGAACAAGATGAAAAACATGGAAAAAAGTACTTTACAGAAATTGAAATCCAGCATATATAACTGAAAGATTTTTTTTTTTTTGGTGAACAGGAATAACTCTAAAACTTGAGTGGGTAGAAGGGAGGTGCAAGACAGTGTAAGAAAACTTTCTTACCTGGTTTTAAGTTGACAGGGGAGACTATCAATAGAATACTGTAGTAGGAGCAGTTCTGAAAGCCTTGATTAGTCTGAGTGAAAAGGACATGTGGGAATTGTGGAATAAGGCCATGATCCAGCAAAACACTTGCATCACTTCAAACAACCCCATGCTTGGTTTTGAAAAGTGCTTTGCTGGACTAGGGCTTGAGCTGAGCTAAATGCCCATCTTATTCATAGAGGTTAAAAATGTTTTCCAGACCAGCGTAATATGAAAGACTAATAAATGTTTTAAATAATACTGCCTGAATATGTGTTGATGGTTGTGTAAGAATGGTAAAGCCTTCTTAAACATCTAAACTATTTTCCGATTCCTAAAGCATTTTTTTAAAGTGTATAAATTTTGTTAAGTAGTGTCAGGCTTAAAGAAATTAAACTACTTTCTCAAGAACTTGAAATCAGATGTTTTGAATGGGATTTCAGTATGCAGGTGCGTTTGTGTGCAAGCAATGGTGTGATTATACAGTCAATGTGCTTTCAGCTAAAAGTACGCTGTTACTGTGAAGTTCAAGGGAGATGACTGCATATGCAGTAAGTGCATGATACAGCTTACAGATGCCCATTCAATTCCTACTGAGTATAGTAGATTTAATAATACACTGGCCCAAAGCCCTGAAAAGACAGGCTGCAAACACTAGGTACTGATATACACTGTCTTAGGACTTTAGAACTTTTTTTAAATATGAGCATAGCTAAAACTTTTTTAAAGAACAAAGCAGAAGAATAACTATGAAGAACAACAAATCCTCCACTGACAGTGAAGCAGGTTTGAATAACCTGAAAGGATTTAGAAAGGGAATAGCTGAATTTTTTTCATGAGATCTAAGGTCTAGAACTAAAGCACTGAGAACTAAGAGTCACTTAATACCCTTAACTCACTCGAGCCCTTACTCAGCAAAGCATATGGTTAACTTTTTAAGCAAAGGAGTAGTCCTGC